GAGACCCTGTCTTAAAAAGGGCTGGGGGTGTATTTTGGTGGTAGAGCTCCCCAGGTTCAATACCCAGTGCTGCAAACATCATAATAACGTGTATAGATGGATCTGTGTGTGTCACTTTTCCACCTATCTACCCAACCACCGCAGCCATCCACTGAGCCAGCTAGTTATCCTTTCTTGACACCCATGTGATTTGGGTGGTTTGGGCCACTTGTCTTAGTTCCCTGGCCATCTGGGGGATGCTGTAACTAGGACAAACAGTAGCTCTCACATTGTGGTCTCAGGCATCCTTCTCAAAGCCAGCTAAGGGTAAAGGATTTATAGATGGGCTTGTAGGATGGTATGTGTCCATGAGTGCGACTTCTTGGTGACTCCCTGTCAGTGCAGGGGAAATGAAGTTTTAAGGAAGTTTCTCCTTCTCAGCTTAGAAATTTATGAGATGTGAAGTGAAGCAGGACCTGCCTTCTGTGACCCTGGATGCGAATCCCGGATTCGCAGGTTGGTCAACCTTTCTGGTTTGGTCAACCTTTCTGGTTTGGTCACCTTAAATGGAGTAGAACTCCTGTACCCGTCTCCCTGGGTTGTGGGGAAAAGGGCTTCTGTGGCACAACACCTGGCACCTGGGAAGCACTCCACCGAGGCCAGGAGATGCCCTTCTTACTCCCAGAAATTTACTTCTGGAAATCTAGCACACACTGCTAGGGAACAGGGCTGTCCTTTTCCTTTGCTTCCCACCTCAACTGCTGTGTGTCTTTCCACTGTGGTTGAATCAAAGAGAAAGGACATGGACTCAGCCATCTCTACTTCCCCATAGTGAGTAGAAATAACATGTGAACCTTCTGTTCCCACTCCTGAAAATGGCCACAGGACCACAGGCTTGAGCTCACAGGAGGCCAGTAAGGCAGACAGACCTGCAGGGGGACAGCAGGGCCACCTGGTTGATAGAACTCAAGGACATTAGTGTGGCCTCCTTACCGCCCCCAACTGGCCAATCCATGATCCGCAACGCATCTCTTAGTAGACTTAGAGGTCAGTTCTTAGGGAGAAGGTGAACTCACGTGAGGACTCACCATCAAAACTCACACTCCCTCTTACAACGTTTGTTTCATAGCTTATCTCTATATTTTTGAATATAGCACTTGTAACCAGGTTAGGCTTAGGGATGGTAATTTGGTTTTACAAACAAAGTACAACTTTTTTAAAAACAAAAAAATTCCTGATCCTGTCCATTGCTAACCCAGTGGCTGAGGCTTCCGGGGAAGCCATGGAGACTGCACAGATGAGAACAGGAATCTGGGCTTCATGGGGCCTGAGCTGTGGCCTTGCTGCAGCACCCACCTTCTCTGTGGGACAGTCCCATGTTCTTTTCAAGGGGGCATTAACCTTGCTGATGTGTGTAAGTGCCTGACATAGAACAAGTGATCGGCAATGAGTAGTTTCCTCTTCCAGAACCAAATCTTTCGGCCACTGCAGTCAGGGACGCTGAGAGGCCTGTGATGGTGGAGGCCATTCCATTTTCCCACTGCAGCCCAACCTGCCCCAGCAGGTCACTGCACTCAAATATCCCACAGTTAGAGACACAAGGGCAGATAGGAGGCTCTCAGTCCTCACTGGATGCTACCTAAAATCATTTTTGGTGGTTCACAAATTTAGATTACCATGGCCCTCCAGGTTCTCCTGGAGAGGAACTCATTTCAGATCACGCTTCAAATGCCCTATTGGCTTTAAAGGGTGCTGGGAGTCATGACTAGATCTGTTTTTTGTCTCTTAAGATGTTGCAGGGGTTGGGAGAAGAGTTGAAAATAATCTCTTTAAAATGGTGACATTTGCTTGATCACATTGACATTTTTGTGGTACTGAAGTTCTGCTTCCTGAAATAGACCTCCAAAGAAAAGGAAGAAGATCACGCTTTGCCTTGGCGTCTGTATTCGCTGATTCACCACCACCCTCCGCCCCCATCTGCCCACGAGCAGTTTTTCATGACACTTAATCAGATTATATGCAGTACAAAACACTGGCAGTTTGCTCACATTCTGGATTTGGACACTGCTGTTCATTTTTAACTTCCTTGAGACAAACTGTACTTTTCCAACTCTGGTCACCATGCTGAATCACAATAAGACACTTTTTCCAGGCGACCAACACTGACACCCAATTTGACTAGAGAAAGATTAGAACTTAAAATATCCTGAGAAAACTCAACTCATGACAGAACAGAATGTTCTCTAATAAGGTACCAAATCAGTACCTGCTAGGTGAGAGTTGGGAATTCTTAGTTTACTCAAAGCCAGGATTTGGATCCTCAGCGCTTGGAGGAGGTATGCTGGGGAAAGTTTGCAAAGAAAACTTTTGAAGGAGGAAATGACACGAATTCTCAGAAAGCTCTCATATCACAGAATGGCAGATGTTAAGTACAGGTTGCTTGTTTGAAGCGGGGCTTGTGGTACTTCTGAGAAATAGGGCTAGTCCAAGTCAGGGAATGTGTGACCGACAGGGCTCTGTAAGATGCCGGTTTATCCACAGAGTAACTTCTTTTTCTATTTTTATCTTTATTTATTTATGGGGTGGGAATTAAGGAGATGAATTAGAAATGGGACAGGGGCTGGAAGCTAGATAGGTGGATAGGACCCCAGTAAAACAAATGTGGACATGGGAATCAGCTCTGGATGTGACTAACTAGGGGCCAAGTACCTGTGCAGAACTTCACAGAACACCTGTGCAGGTCGCTAAGTGGGATTCTATGGGGGCACAGTGGTGCACACCTATTATCCCAGCCACCCGGGAGGTTGCAGCAGGACCACATCAGAGGCCAGCCTGGGCAGCTTGCCAAGATCCCATCTCAAAATAAAATAAAAAGGGCTGAGGATGTTCAGTGGAGCCCTTGCCTAACATGTGTGAGGCCCTGGTTCAATCCCCAATACAAAAGAAAGTGAGGTTTCTAAGGCTCTCTGAAACTAGTAAATAATACTAAAATGTCACAATCATGTTTTTCAAAATATGTTCCTTGGGATCCTGGGCCACATGCAAACAGAGTTTATATTCTAAGAAATTGGGGGAAGGATCACTTCCAACAAAATAAATAGGTTTCTTCACTGGAGAGCTTCAAGCCTGCAGCTAAGGCACAGTTCTACTTTTTCAAGGAACAGGTGACCTCATTTCCTGAGTTTAGTTAATGATGTGGCTTTTAAAATTTTTTGTTCTTTTTAATAAAATTATTTTCAAGGAAATGTGCATTCAATTTTGGATTGATGCAGAATAAACAAAGAAGAAAAAAATCAAAATGCCCCAAACAGGTAGCTGTCCCAAAGGCTGTCAGACTCGGAGTCTGACAGCAGTGCTCCTGGTCCTCGACTTGAGAAATAAATATTGGTATTTCCTCGTGGGTATTACTGTTACCCCACACATACTTCAGGGAAAAATACACCCTTAAATGTTTTCACTCATCTCATCAACACTTGTAACTGCTCCTTAATTTTTAAAATCAGGAATACACTTTTCCTGGGAAATTTTAAATCAGACTTTTAGAGAGTTTCTCAAACTTAAAGAAAAAATCTAAAATTTCATTTATTTTCTTTGTGAACGCAGCATGAAAACAAACCCACTACCCAATGAGGTTATGAAGTAACTGGATGGTTAAGAACACAGTGGGTTTGGGTGAACAGCCAGTACGGCAGGCAGCTGGGAGTCCTGGGCTCACCACTCTGGGCCTGCCAACAGCAGGGGCGCTGCTCCTCCATGTCCACCCTGCGCCAAGACAGTCGAGCGCATTGTGCAGAGCCGATGTTTCACGTGCTTAAAATAAATATTTCCCAAATTAAAGAAACTAAATATGCTCATGTCTCCCTTCCTCTCTTTTTTCCTCTTAAAATGCTGAAACCATCTCAGAAGGCCTAAGAGGATCGTGGAGGTGGCAACCAAATGCCACCCCCATCTCTGATGTCCCTGGGCTTCCTCAGGAGCCTTCCCTGAAATCTGAAGGGAAGTCTGGGATACTGCGACCAAGTCAAAGCCCTGCCAGCAGGTCAGAATCCCTGGCCCCACCCTAACCCCCAGTTTTATTCATTCAACATCTCACATTACAAATATTTAAGAATATCCCAGTGACCCGGAAAGCTGCATGCAGGGAAAGACAGTCTAGAAGCCAACCATCCGGCACTCCGCCTGCCTCAGGGTCAGACCTGCCTCCAGTCCTGAGAAGGCTGCACTAGTGGGAAGAAAGAGGAGACATTACCTCTGACAAAACAGGAGATTCTCAGGTCACACATTTTGTCACAACCAACCCTTAACCTGGAAGTGTATAGTCTAAAAATATAAATACGAACACATTGCAGCACTCAGTAGTCTATACCCCCATGAACCAACTCAAAGGTGATATTTCTGATTCACATGCTGCAGAGACCATCCAGAGGACATCCCAGAGGCCATATCCTGTCACCTGGGGTCTAGAGAAAACTAGGCCTTCAAAGTCAGATGAGACTTGCTTTTTGAACTGGGAGTGTAGCTCGGTGGCAGAGCATGTGCTGAGCATGAGTGAGGCCCATGGTTCCATTCCCCAGCACCAAAAAAAGGAAAAAAAGAGAGATTGTTTCTAAGTCCTCTGGCAGAGGAGCCAGAAATCTTCCCTGACAAACACCCCAAAGTGAAACTCCCGGATGTGGACTTCATTACATTAACATTTGTTCTTTTACTTTTTTTTTTTTTTTTTTGACATTTGGCCTTAGGCAGGTGGCTGAACACTCAGATCCAGGCTGAGGCCCCAACGCACACGAATAAAAGGAACTCTGGGGCCTGTGAGCCAACAGCCCGCTCAGGGACACCACAAGCCGCCCACATTTCCAGGCTGAAGCTAGCAAGGGGCGCTCGCCACGGGCACCCCCGCTGAACAATTTTCCTTGTTGGTTGCCCTGCCTTGGCCCAAAGGTACACCTAATATTTTTTTAAGCGATATATTCCCAACCACGGAAGCGTAATGTACTTATGTTGAAAAGAAATATTAAAAGAAATCTGAGTTAAAAGTTTTATTCATTCAACATCTCACATTACAAATATTTAAAAATTATATGCATACTGGTATAAATAGTCATTTGCAAACTATTTAATAACATTAATTTTCCACTAGCACTTCAACAAATGAACTCTTTTAAAAAAGGAACTGTGTTATATAACTTAAGAGTAGAACATACAAAAATAGGAACTTAACGTGAAAATGACTTTAATAAAAAATGAATTACCCTTATTTAAAATGCTATAATAAATACTACAACCTCCCCATACACAGTAAAAACTATATGGAAATTCAGCCAAGTAGTACAATTAACTGACACACTTAAATAACTTTTCCTTCTGATAATATGAGCAATACACTGGGAAAAAAATTAGGGATTAGTAAAAACTAGACACCCACTTGCTAAAAGTTTCACTTCCAAAAAATATAACAAAAATCTGATGAAAATTATAAAAACTAATTATACTTTAAATTTTAAAAATATAAAAAATAAAAGTTGAATACAATATTGTCCCAATTCTTACAATGCTATCAATCACAGTAGCTTTAAAATAAGATAATAAAATAAAGCAAATGACCAAAACCTCTTTTATTCCATTTTTAAAAATAATCTCAAATTTACATTAGTAGAAAGATTGATTTCTGATTCTTTTCTTTAGAAACACCAGCAAGAAAGAGGATTACTCTTAACAGTAGAAAATGACATTTTTAAATGTCTGCAATTAAAAACAAAGAATTACACTGCAAAGATCTTTCAAAAGTTTGAAATAAGTATTGCACATAACTTGTTAACTTGCCACAATTCATCACATTCAAGTTTTAAATCACCTTTTAACAGAAGATTCAACTCTTCAAAACAAAAGGGGTGAGTTATCAAGTCTTTCCAACAGCACTCTCATAAAATGCTAAATTCATTCACTGCAAGTTTTATTTTGCATTCTGCAGAGGTCTGTGTATGGAGAAGTATATATATTATACCAAAGCGTGGGGACAGGAAAAGGGAGGGCGAGGGTTCCTTTACATAGAAAATAATCAGAAACACTTTATTTTACATTGCAAAAATAACCATGTAATTACTCTGTAACTACATTGTAAGTACATGGCTGGTGCCATGCTAGTGCGCTAGAACTACATGCTTGGTAAATTGAAGTGAGACCCTAAAATCTGTAAACTAATTACATGTTAATTATGTTTGAGTTACATGGTAACTCCCAACTACAATCCCATGTAATCTGAAGGACATGTAATCAATAAAATTCAGAGTAATAGATAATCATTGTTTATGCCCTGTAAATTGAAGTGTAACCAAATAATCTGTAAACACGCTTGTCACACAATCACAAGTAAATATTAGTAGAATAACAATTTCTTACATTAGTCATGCATACTAACATTACACACCTGTCCCATGGCAGGCTATTTTTTTTTCCTTATATATAATTTAAAAGAGCAGACATCTCTGAATCAAACACTTAACATCAATTTATTAAGATTAAAAATGGCTAAACATTCACCAAAAATGTCTGCGTTTTATGAATAATTTTAAAAACTTAGTAAGAAGCTGTAGACAATTTTGTTATTTTAAATTTCTACCCTATGCTTATGCATTTAATTTTTTTTTCTTTTAGGAACTACAGTGTTATCTGTCATTTTCATGCGAATTTTTTTTTCATTAATTTGTGACTTTACATAGACTATTTCTTAAATTACAGGCACACCAAGAGCTGGTGCCGGGGAGGGATGTTTAAGCAACATGCTTTCTCTTCTCTGCAGACTCTAAAATAGCATTGCCAGTGCACAACATTCATAATTTAAAATGTATGCAGAGCACTGAAATGTATAAAAAGCAGAATATAAGAAAATAAAATTTATTAAAATTATTTATATTAAAAAATGAAGTATATGAAGATCTCTCAGTAATAAAAGTACAAAAAGCTACTCTTTGCAATATGAAAAATTGAGGTATTGCATAAAGAGATATCCCGTCAGTGAAAAGTGTGCCTAAAAATGTTCACTGTTGGAAAAACAAGATATACAAAAGTAGTGCATAACAAATATACATTATGTGCATGACAAAATAAGTTAGCTACAAAAACACTGTACCGAAATTCAGCAGGTCATGTACAAAGGGGAAAATTATTATCCAAAGCTAGTTTTCAAACAGTGTTGTTTCTTGTTAACTCACCACACCTGTTTACTGAGTAGGAACAGCACATAGCACACCCCAAGCCACCTACAAGCATGGAAAAGAATCAAAAGAGGCAAATGAACATTCCAATCAGAATCATGTGGTTCAGGAGAAAAGGAAAACAAAAGTCCCTGACCAGCTAGCTACGCGAGAGCACCCTCCATCGCATGACTGCTTTACTGTTCACAGGGAGTTCTTGAAAAGCAGCTCCCTCTCTGTGTTGGACTCCTAGACAGCAATGCCTCCATTTTGACCTTTGGAACTTAACAGGTATAGTTCATTAAAGCCTGTATCAAAAATAAAGGACTGCTTTTCCTAAAGATAATCAGTGGGGGGCATCAGCCGGATGGTTCCACAGCAGTGCTGGGCAAGTCTTTGGTTTTGAAGGATCCAAGATGGTAACTGTTAGGTAGCACAACTAGCAAGATTGCTGTTAGGTTGTTGTTGTTTACTGTTTTGCACACTGATAAGAATCCTTTGAATTGTTGATAGGGCATTTAATAAAAGAATGTCAATTAAAATAAAAGTTACTTCCATGACTAGGACTTCAAGAGACTATTTTAAATTTACTCCTGAAGCATACTGTTCAACACATAAGAACGCCTTTCGAAGCAAGAATTTTATTTATAAGAAAGCATGCATTACTTGATGAAGTTGGCACTTCAAACACTGACTATGTCCCATGCTAAGTTCTGAAACTGTAAGGTTATTTTATTTTATAGGAAGAGTAAGATAAACATACGTACCTTTGCACAGATTTACACAGTTACTTAGTTCAACAGTGCAAAACACTTTGCAACTACTTAACTTTTTTAAAACTTTTTTCCATTTTCTATGTTACAACTAAATTACAGGATATCCAAAGTAAGTTTAAATCTAAAAGTAAGCCAATCAGCAGCCAATTTGTATATTGTTTTTTGTCTCCGGGTTTTGGCTACGAGTGTTCTGGAACAAAATTAAAAATGGAATCCTTGAGGTATCTCTAGATCTGTTGCTTTTAATGTCAAAATGGAGAGCAAAGGCTGACACCTGACGAGTGTTAGTGAATTAGGATATAGAGTTTGTATATAATATCAAAAACAAAATGCACACATTTGTTCTTCAGGAGAGGAAATGCTAGTTTTCCCACCAGTTGTCATGAATTCTAGCTTTGGTAGGTTTCCTGGGGCTGTGACCAAATAAGTCAGTTAAATAAATAAGTGCACTCCCCTCAGTAATAAATTTACCCAATTCTTACATTCTGAATTTTTAAAATTTTTTAAATATTTGAAAGAAAGTAAACCTAGCTCTGCCTACTTGACTATTTTTTCTGATGTCCTAATAATGCTGAGGCAGAGTGAGTTCTCTTCAGCCTCAGGACCCTTAATATGAATTACAACGCTGCTCACCCTTGCTCAGGCATCTGTGTGCTGTGACACGCTCTTTCCTGGTAGTGACTGTTCACTTCCTCCATCGCTGTTAAAAGCATTAGAAGGGGATGGAAAAAAGAGAGAGAGAAAAAAAAAGGAAGAAAAGGAAGGAAAAGGCAGAAGCACTTCCCTGGGGGGAACTGTGTCAGAACAGACCGATAGTGTTCTTGTTGCATGGTTATCTTAATAAAAGTATTCTTATATGTTCTATTATTAACAATAATTTAATTAAAAACCCAAAATACTCTATTGTTTCATTTCTCTGTTAATATTTCTCTCTCTCCTCTAAGAAAATGCTGCAGGAAGTTGGAACCCTCTTGGTCTCCAGCAAAGCAAGAGAACAGAACTTCCACGCAGCAGGTGCCAATACAAAAAGGAGTTCAGACACGTTGTTTGCAGTGACACAAGGATCTACAAAACACCTATACCATAGGTCACTCTTTTCGTTATACTATTGTTAAGTTACACACTGCTACAAAAGGACATGCCAGCGTGAAGAGGCTGAGGAAGGGTCAGAAGGACGAAGAGTGCACTTATTCTGAGGCCTGGAAACGAGCACTGTAGTTAGGTAGCCTTTAGTTCCAGCGGAATGAAATGTGCCGAGGGCGGTCGCCGCCTTCCTTCACCAGGGGCTTGTGGAATTCCCTGCCAGCACGAGAATGAATAGCAGCCCAGCAATATTCACAGTAATACTGCAGACAGGTAACATTAGCACAGAAAAATGGGGCGAATTTGCCCCCGCAACGGGCCCCCTGACATTCATCACACAGCTGATCATCCAAGACATATGGCTTAACTTCCACCTGCAACGAAACAATAAAGAGGGAGTTCACATTTGTCGTGACTGGACCAGGCACCTCTTACCAGGAATACAGTACGGTTCCCTCCACCATCTGGATGAATCTGTGCCAACGTGCCCAAAAGGGAGGGCCAACAAGTCCTTTACTGCAATGAAGACGGACCATCTTTTAAGAACTTTGGTTATAAGACTTTTATACCTTTTGCTTTTATGGTTTCATCTTATTAAATAAATATCCTTCAGAGGGAAAAGAGGATCTCACTAGAAATCAGAAAGTGAAGCCAGCTATTCAGAACAGCACACTATGAGATTAAACTCATGGGGAATTTTCAAACCCTTGTTTTCACTAGTGGATCTGGACTTTTGTCATAGGTGCAATTGTAATTTAAACAAAACCTATGAAGAGTTCCCAGGTTCCATAAAACAGCACTCCATGACAGTGACCAGTGGGAAGGGGCCTGACTTCTGCATTACCAGCATCTGAGTTGTCACCGAGCGGGCTCACAGTTTCTATTTACAGCATCCACATCAAGGGTCATAATCACAACCCTGGAATGCTGGTGAAACAGGACCTGGCCAGGGCACTCACAATCTGAAGCCTTATTTAGTTTTGTCAGTAAGAATGGTTTACTTGAGTCTAAAAGTCAGAGGTGAATTTATAAAACTGGGCTGTTCAGTACTCAATAGGCCAACATGTCATTGGAGCCTCTCGACAAATAAAAGTCACATGGCTCTCAGCTCACTAGCTAGAAGACAGCTGGTCATTCTTAGTGCAGGAGACACCCGTAGTGGAGGCTCCCTCACATCACAGTATTGGTACCACTGGGGCCATCCAGTTCTGAAAGGAATCCTCACAAAGGTTAGCCAGGAAGGAAGGGACAGGAGTAACATGGAAGATGCCAAGGGCAGACAGAGCTGGCCCTGAGGCTCGGGCCTCTAGGCCACTCCATGTCATCTACAGAGTGGCAAGAACATGTCACAGGATGTCACTGTAGAGGACATAAATTGAGCCTGAATTTCTGATGAACACAACTCCAAAACTTACAGTAGAAATTTATATTACAGTGAGGTGCAGATATTTTTCAGTGTGAATAAAAAGCAAGTAGGCATGTTAACATACACTGCAATGAGTCCTGCCCCTTTTACCAGAGTTTATAATGTACACCTTTCTGCTTAACGTAATCACAGTATTGTAAATGACCACTATTATTTCAAAATGTTTACTGCCACTGAAGCAGAAAACACATGACGTGAAACACAAATGGTGTGTGTAGACCACTACTGACTTGCCAGCTTCCACACCTCGGAGTGAGAATGGCACGGGAAAACCAATCAATAAAGACTTTAACACAAGGCCCCCGAGTGCTGGGTATCAACATCAGTGCTAATGAGAGTGCTGGTCTGCTGCAAAATAGGGCTTGCACCAGAATGCACCTCAGCACGCTGCCTCCCTCATGAGGAAGGTCCTTCTCATCAAAAACCACTGTCGGCTGAAGCCAGCACTGCACCTGGTCATGCAGTGGATTCAGATTCTGGTGTAAATTCCTATCTCACCACAACCTACTAACAGTTTCTGGCCTGGCCTTTGGCTCACAGGCCACACATTCAGTAATACTGGCATAAAATATGGTTCTATCAGAATGTGGGCTCATGAGGACGGTAACTTCTTATCCTAGGCACTAAAACATCTGTGGAATGCATGAAACACAAAGAAAAGGAATAAATCTGTGGGGAAAAAATAAGACATAATAGAATACAGAGCGCTGATATAATATACTGGAAAGAGGAAAGAACTATCTTTGAGGGTTTCTTTCCCAGTCTTGTGATTCAGAGGGTAAATCCAACAAAGAGGAATTTAAAAAGTGTTGAAAATAATGCTAAGTAATACTACCTAATTTTAGGTGGAAAAACAGACCACTAATAAAAAGATGATTCCTTCTATTTCATCTATTACAATGAAAGATTTCTAAGCAAGGTGGATCTAGAAGTGAATTAATTCAATAACACGTTACCACCGTGCATTGAGAAATAGACTTACAGGGGTATTCATGATGTTCCAAGATTTTTTTAAAAGTCAGGAGATATTATATGCATTCATGTTTCCATAACTGATATAAGGTAGGACAGAGGATTCAGTAAATTTTATTGAATGAATGAAAGGATGGGGTGACAGTCTAGGAAAGATTAAATTAACTCAAGTAAACTTGTTACGGTGTCCAGTGTCCTAGTCTAGCTATCCAAAAATCAGAGAAGAAACTCAGAGGCAATTCTTAGAGCCCACATGTGACTGACTCTATAGGCATAACTGCCAGCTGTCAATTACAGCAATACAAAATCCCCCATTCAGCAGCCTAGGACTTACCCGTTTATCTATCTCTCCGTGCTGCAGCTGGACAAAGCGGGCACTGATAGCAGCTATGTAGCTCTGTTGATTAGAGAATGCCACTCGCCCAGCTCCTTTTGGGTATTTCAGCTCAGGGTCTGTGTCGATCCCAGCATAGCACACACCTCCATACAGCCGATCCATTATCATAGCCAGCTCCACTGAATGAGGGGAGCAAAGGGGGCATTTAAATCAGGAAAATTCATCTGGCTCATCGACGGTTTCCTTCAAAGTAGTTCATTTTCCTCCGAGCTCACATTATTACAGTCATTATTAATTAAACTCATTACTATGACCAGTAGTACAGTGGGTTAATCATCAATTTTTTAATTGTGGGCAGGGGCTCTGTGGTTTTACATGTTCTTTTCTAATCTTCACAACAACTCTAGGAAATAGGTAAGAATTTCCTAAGGAAATTGAGGCACAAAGATGATCCATCTGTCCAAAGTCTCAGATTGTTAAGTGACAGTCCTGGGCGTGGCAACCAGTTTTGCTTCCTATCCATGTTATTGCTGCATGGTCACCAGTTAGCAAGGTATTTCTTACTATAAATAACTAATTAAACACTAATTAAGAGGGGCTTTGCAGCCTCTCTCCATCAAAACCTGTTACCTTTTCCTATAGTCTAGCTATTCATCTATTTCTCATATAAAATTTGAAATAATTAAAGCATCCTTTCCATGAACTGTTACAATTCTGAAACTGCATTTCTGTTCATCTTATGTTCTTTACCTCATTCATGCTATTAAACCCCAAGCTACTAGATGGTGGAGATGTAATTTCTTCTGTAATTACTACTCTAAAAACATGATGCACTGCTGAGAGCCAGTAAACAGCTCTCAGCAAACAGCCGAGCTCAGTAAATAGCTGCAGCAACTGAGGACATGGGAAACCAGCGCTGAGTGGCTCAGTACATAAGCTACTTTCCAAGGGCTTCTTTTTTCTTCAGACAATGATGAGAAAGATAATGTGAGCCCTTCACATCGGTTACCCCATTCGATCCAAAATAACCCTACGAAGCACATGCACTTTCCACTGTCTTGACAGATGGGGAAATTGAAAATCAGAGAAATTATGTCATTTGTCCAAGGCCACTCAGAGCACAGCATGTAAATTCAAACCCTCACAAAACTGACTGCTAGAACTCTCACTCTTAGACAATGAGCTCAAACACTCATTAAGAGTTCATCCTAATGATCTTTATATTTCTTATTTTAAAGGGCAGGGAGTGTTTTTGGATGTTTGATCATACCAGCTCGTAATGGTCGAGGAACACCCCCAACAAATATAGTTTTTCTTGGGTCAAGTGGCTGTGAACCATCCATCACAAAGTCACTGTCACTGAGATTCCAGGGCCGAATCTGTACCTAGGGAGTGCAGAAACCAAAAGTGTCTCATTATCAAAAGGTCTAAAATTATCGAAGAGTATTGTATCTTTAAAAGTCAAAATCTATGTCATGACAAATCAAAAAAGGTATAAAGCTCAAAGACTTAAAAGTAATCTATATCCTAACCCTTCATTTCATCTGTTAGAGCAAACTAAACCAAGGTGGAAAGTTCAATTTCAATGTCTACTATAAGCCAAATCACTTAGCAGGTCCTTATTTATTTGTAAGTTAATTAGCTCTTTTTCAGCTTATTGGGTCTTCTACTCTATCCAACCCCTCAATATCTGCATAATTAAAATTTAGCATGGTATCTGACACTGATCAGCTTATAGTGATAAACTAGGATTGAATGTCCAAATCAACATATGTATAGAAAATGCAAATTATTTCTGATTTTAATAAATCTGTTGCATTATTTCAAAAAACATTTCAAAGTAAAAATATCACTGATATCTGTAATAAACCATTTTGTGATAAAGACTTCAGTATGTCAAACAATCAATCGATCGAGAATCATGTACCTCATTTAAATTTGTTTGCATTTACTAACTGCTACAGGTGCCCACACCAAAGGTAAGGTATTTCCAAATATGCACACCAATAATGCCTGAAGCCAGAGGTACCCAATTCAAACACCTATAAGAATTGGCGTGGAACATAAACAAGTCAAGCAGAAAGAATCCAGGCCATAGGAACTCAAAAGTATGTTCCTGACCCAGACACCAATACAAGCTCCACAAATCATTGCCTGAGCAGGCACCCCATGCTGTGCTCCTGCACCACTTTATCTGGATGGTAGAGAAGTGTCTCTTCACTAACTGCTACCTGGCTAAGAAGGAACTGCTGATTGGTCAAGTTCATCACTACACTCCCTAATGATGAAATTCTATGATAAAGAAAAACTTCCAGGAAGAAAAAATAGCACCCAATATACCTTTACGAGAATACACATAATCAATTCTACTTTGGGAAAGCATCACAGGTAAAAAGTTAAGGACTCTTTGGGTAAAATCTTGATCCAAGAGAGGATAGAGATAGAAAGACATGGAACATATTTGTGATTTGAGTTTTATTCTTCAGAAGAAATTCAGCTGCTTTACCTTTGTAAAATGTTTTTTTTTTTCAAGTGAAGACTTTAAATAGTGAAGACTTACCAAATATTTCAACTAACTACACATTCAATGTCAAAATAATGTGCACGGATATACAGAATGTCAATGTTAGGAACCTGATAATAACAAAACCTTTTTATTTAGATTCTACTTACAAACATGTCGATTAAGTACATCAAGATGTTTTTCAAATACAGCAGATGGATCGAGGCAAAAACTAACAGCTATTTTACACTAGACTGCACTTACTGGCTTATCCTTGATGGTGGGACTTGATACACACAGGTAGAGCTTTCCATCTTCTTCAATGCATGCATCAATGAGAGCCTGAACAGAGCTTTCATCTTGAAATAGCAGGAATGCATAGCCTGAGAAAAAAAGAAGAAAGGGCTTATACTTTTTCCTATCTTCTTTGTGATTCTTCAAGAGATAGAAAGTGTAAATTAATACCAAGGAAAGGAAAAGGAATAGAAAAATATAAAAAAATTTAAAACTTAACCAAAAATCTGATAATATCAATGCATAATTCACTTTTGTAGTAAAACATAGAGTAGAATTGAATTTGAATTAAAAGTAAGTTATATAGAAATTTTAAAGACCACTTAGAAAAATATAAGCTGAAAAACAGGAAATGTTGTGATGAAGGTAAACATTTATGAAAAGGCTGAACGCTGAACAATATAAGGTTAAACTGTACTTGTATACTGAATCTTGGGAATTACCTTTAGGAGGAAAATAAGATTTGCTCTCTGCTTTATGAGGCCAGTCCACAATCAAAGGGCCGAAGCGACGAAAACTAGCTGTGATCTCATCTAATGAACAAGAAAAAAATTCAAATATTTTAGGGTTACTTTTTTAAAGTAGTAGTTTTATTAACAAAAGCTTTAAATCTGCCATCTCTGAGAACAGTTCACAGAACTCCTTTCAGCCAGATTCACCAGCTTTCAATGTTGGGCACATTTGCCTTCACCCTCTTCCTTCTCTCTTCCCCTCCCCCCTCCATCTGCACATGCATGAACCAATCTAGCAATCCACCCACACACCATCTTTTTCTGACATGATACTCTGTAACCCCAAAACACGACAGTTGGTATCTGCTCAGAGCAAGGTCACCTCCTTATATACCAACATATAGAGTATTCACAATCAGGAAATCAACATGGGTACAACACTACCACCCAATTCACAGACTCCATTTACATTTCAAACTATCCCAGCAATATCCCTGTTTCCCTTATTGATCCGGAGTTCTACCTAGAACACACGCTGCATTGAGCCCTCACAACCCTGCAGCGCTGGTCCTTTTTAATTGGGACGAGCTCCCCATTCTTCCATTTTTCACATTCATTCTACAGGATGCTGCTATGCTCTGAATATTTGTGTCCCTTCCCCACCCCTGCCCAGATTCACATGTTGAAACCTAACCTCCAGCGTGAGGTATTTGGAAATGTGGCCTTCAGTAGATGACTGGGTCTTGGGGGCAGGGTCCTCAACAATGTGATCAATGCCCTTGTAAAAGAGGCCTCAGAGACAGCCTTTATCCCTTCTTCCATGTGTGCTTACAATGAAAAGATAGCTGCTATGAGGAACCAGCCCTTATCAGACACTGAGCTTGCTACGGCCTGGATCTTGAACTTCTCAGCCTACAGAACTGTGGGAAATTTCTGTATTCAGTCTTTGGTAATTTGTGATAAGTCAAGGACCCTTGATGTGAGTCTGTACTCTGTTTACTAATGACCAGATTCATGCTACACATTTGAATACAAATACCACCATGATGACAGTCTGTTGTCCTATCCTACCACACTGGACATGTTAAGCTTGATCACTGGTCAAGTTGGTATCTGTCTGGGTTCTCCATCTCAAGGAGGTCACTTCCCCTTTGTATCTGATAAGTGTATTACAAAGAAATATTGTGTAGTCACCAATATCCCATTTCCTCATTAGCCTTGGCATCCTGAAGAGTCCTGCTTCTATCCACTACCTCAATGATGATCACCAATTTTCATCATTCCTTCTACATTTACTAGTTAGGATTAAACAGTAATACTTCTTTCCCTTTTATTCATTTATTTATATCAACAAAGATTTTTTAAAATTTATTTTCTGAGATGTTGGAGATTGAACCCAGGGCCTCAAGGATGCCAAGCAGGCGTTCTGCCACTGAGCTACACCCCAGCCCTAGGCCTACTTTTTTATAAGTCATATAATCCAATTCTCTCCTTATTTATTTTGATGCTCACTTTGTCCAAAAATATTATCCCTGATTTTGCCCATAGGAACTTCCTTGTCCTCTGCCGTGTCCCTACCATTTTTTTAAACACTTCTATAATTTGTGGCACAAGAAGATACTTGAGACTCATCCTGACCTTCCATTGCTCAAGCTCTAGAATCAACTATTTTTTTTTCATGGTTCCTTTTGGTGGCAAAAGATACTTAAAAAACTAAAATTTAGGTGTGCCACAAGTTCATTACTAGTGAGTTTTCATTATTTCCAAGTCTACCCAGTGGACAAAGCTAGAAAACAAATGAAATATGCACATGTACATGCATGTTGATGGCTATTTCTATATCTGTGTATTATAAAAACCTATGATCTTACATTAGTATTCCCAGTTCCACTCTAAATTCTCAGTTTTTTCTAGCCTTCCTTCCATATTTGTAAGTTCCCTTCTCATGGTGAGAAACTTAGCTCCTCTGGTCTGCAACACCCTTATTACTTGTTCAGTATAACCAATCTTCCAGCCCCTGCTAGACTCCTCTGCCTCCTAGCTTGGTGCTCCAGCTTGGGTTGGCCCTGACTCCTGTATACACCATGCCCGCTGCTGCCAAGGCTCCTGGGCCCTGTGCACATACAGGAAAACACACCCCTTGACTTTGTCATTGCTCCTCTTATCAGCCCACCTCCGTGGACAGCAAGAAACCTAAGTCAGGCAGGAAGGGAGAAGGAAAGAAGGGAAAGATAGCAAAAAAAAAAAAAGAGAGAGAGAGAAAAGTGAAGACTTGATCACACTTAACCATTAATTTAATGATATTATTTGCGCCTCATCATATATTTGGATAACTAGCAGGTAAATTCTAGGAAAATATATTTCCAAAAAGCTTCTGCAAAAAATTGGTTAAGCATTGTAAAGGAGACCTGATGAAAGTCAGGAAGAACAAAAAATTGAGATGGGGACTACATTCAAATTCCATCCTGGAGGAACTGTTTTCATTTCCCCCAGACTGTGAAGCGGACAGTCTGTTCTGCTACGCCTGTTTCTACATTAAAGGGGACTCACGTGAGACTGGTAAATAGGAGAATGACGTCAGCCGAACATGGAAAAGAGAATGACAGCCATCAGAAAAGACAAAAGCCCGGGCTCCAGAGATGCGCGTGTAAGCCCCACTCTGCTCTAAGCACACTGGAACGAGGACCACCAGGGCTCTCTCACCACAGGTGCATCTCCAACCCTGAAGGACATCTGACCACTTGCATGTCCTCAGGTCCAGAGGCCCGGTTCCCTCTGCCTCTTCTCACACTGCCCTAGTGGTTTGGGACATATTTAGTACTCCCTGAGGCTGCCCCTGCCATGCTGAGCTTCTTCCTTCAATTTTTGATCCGGAGTTCTACCCAGAACACACGCTGCATTGAGTCCTCACAACCCTGCAGCGCTGGTCCTATGAAGAGGCTGATCCCCACGGCCATCATCACATCCATGTCTGTGACATGTCCAGTGGTTAATTCTCTTTTTGTTCATGTCGCAGGTACAGATTCACTTGGTTTTAAATGATCTGCCTCTATATTCCTCATAAATCCTGAAATTTTTAGAACATAATTCTATAGAACACAATACTCTTTAAGATATGCTCGCTAAGGAAAGGATAGAGATGGTTTCAGACTAAATTGAAATTTCCCCAAGACATTTCATTATGTGTGTGGGGGGGGGGAACAAACCAAACCCTGTGTTTATTTCAATCTTTGACTTTTCAGAACCATTACTGTCTCAGCCTTCCAAAAGACTGATCATCCTGTAGAAAATGAAGTGGCTTGATAAGTTTTAATTCCAGTCTAAATGGTGAGTTATTAAATATTATTATTGGACCCAACAGATTTTTAGAGAAACCTGCTCTATTCTTAAAATATGAATTAGTTTACTTCCATTTCCATTCAGGAAACCAAGACCAAAGAAGTTTGGAAGAAAGCAACCAAGATATATGATCACTATATGTCTACTTTGGATTTTACTTAGTTACTTAGATCCAGAGATGAATTGCGGATTCCTAGATAACTGGTCCCACTAACCCTTGGCATGGCTGGCTCCTTACTAAAGTCTCAGTTCACATTTCACCTCCACAAAGAGGCTTTCCTTCACCACTTGCATCACTAGCTCAGGTCACCATGTTTGCTTTTCAATACTTACTCTGGTATTTTCTTGCATGTGTACATATTTTTAATGGGCCTTCCCTAACCAGAATATCAACTCTATGCAAGCAAGGACATTCCATCTTGTTTACTGTTGTAAACAAGCCTGAGGGCGGTGCACAGCATTTAGAAAGCAAGTAAATATTTGCTGAATGAATAACTTTTAAGATTCCTTTTCTTGTGCTACAATTGTAGGCTACATTTATCAAAAGTTCACTATTAACCTAAGATTTAAAAGTCTGAAACAATGAACTGCACATTTATGAAGCACTTATAAAAGGTGGGAAAGAAAGATGGAGACACATAACTGAGTTGGCCAAGGCAGGATGAGCAGCACCACGTGTGCTCATGACAACAGAATGGCTGCCCGTTTCCCAGCAACCCGGCTCTTTCTCACTGAATGCGCCCCTTGTTTCAGCAGGTCCCCGCAGCCTGCCTTCCTCACCACTGCACCTAGGCTCTGTAGGACAGGAAGGCAAGAGACAACAATGCCATGGAGCCTGAATTCCCGGAGTCAGATGGCACCGAAGCTATAAAGACGAGAGCCCTACTATGTGCCACCACAGGCACCCTACTGTAGACAGTTTTTTCTAAATATACCTTCATCGATGTCAGGAGGCAATCCGCCCACGAACACCTTGCGAGAATACCGCTCGACCCGTTCCCCGTTCTGGTGAGTGAAGCAGTGAGGGGAGCCAAGGCCACTATGAAGAGGCTGATCCCCACGGCCATCATCCAGGAACCCATCTTCCATTGGGAACAATGAAGACTGACCTGAAATAGAAAGCAGGACAGAAAGCTAACAGGAAATGCTGCTTGTTACTGATTACTATGCATAAGAACAAGGAAGGCAGCAGATCCAATAAAACTGCTTTTACTTTTCTCACTGAATAATAGGATCACTTAGATATGCTCTTTAGTCCCCATCACCTTTAAGTCCCAACTGAGTCAGAGAAAGTACATGGTTAAATAGAGGGCTGCTCAAGTATCCCACTGGGACCCAGAAGCCTCAGCGAGGTGAAAGGGAAGTCCAGCAGGAGAGAGCACTCCTTTGAAAGCAGTTGGCAGCAGACTGCACTGCCTTGGCAGGGCCCCAGGGCCACCGGCACACTAGATATGGACACTAAGTATGGGATCTGACTATAAGATGCTAAGCCCTTAAATTTCTTCAACAGATCAAATAGCACAGCCTGCCCAATTTCCTCTAAGAATGGGTTTAAAATGAACAAGTCAATTTTTAAGTGAACGCTCATTTTGTTTACCTTTACTAAGGGGATACAACCAAAACCCACCTACTATTGTTACCCAAGTTCACTGTCTGAATATAAGACCCACAGGCATGCTAAAGACACATTTGTTATTAGCTGAGTAATTATTAGCTCACCAAGGATGTTGTCTATTTCTAAAAACTAGTCACTAAATTTGTTGTTTGAAAATGATATTGCCAGAAAAGGAGAAAAGACCAGAGATGCCTCTGTGTGGACAGTCTTCCCATGTTTACCTGACAGAAAATAGGAACTTGTACACCATCAACAAAACACAGAGCTACAAATAACTGCAAAATCTCTCAAACACTGCTTTTTGTCACTGTTCAGCTGCCAATTTACATCTAAGATCTATAAAAGGAACTTGCTAATGGGTCCTCTAAAACTTATTTCAAGTGCTCTTCCCTTATCAGAACATCCCAATACCCTTTTGCAGCCACCCTTGTCTTTAATTTTCATTACTAAACACAAACAATAACAGTATCTTTATTGCACATTTATCCTAAATTCCATGTCAAATGAAGACAAAAAGTAATTATAAAATTAGATATTGTTTTCTGAATGATCTTCAAAAATCACTTAGATTTTACATCTTAGCTATTTAACTGTCTTCTTGCTTGGAAAATGGCAAAACTATTACAGACAGCAAAAATAAGGTTTATTCAGGCACCTCTAGGAAATGAGTCTTTAAGATTCCCTAACACTTCTAGAGCTCCACCCCACCCCAGTATTTGAAATATATAGGAAGTCATTTATTTAGCTCAGCTTATTTTAAACCAAATGTTTTATGCTTACTTAGTAAAATCAGCTGACCCAAATTACTTTAAGTGAAATTGAGCCTCAAAGATAATGAGGTATTTTGAGACTAGTCTACATTATTGCTTTTAAATTTTTTTTAAATTTTTTTTCTCCCAAGAAATTCCCTCAAAAGGAAAAGGGGGGGGGGAATCTTTAGATATAAGTAAGTTGAATATCTAATGTAATATAGGGAAGTCACATGAATTTAAATCAAAATCCCAGCATTCTGGCAATTTGACTAGAGCTCATTAACTCCTTCAAAACACAATGTCTGGAATGCCAACTAGGACACAGAGGCCATGGAGGATCAAAGCTGTGTTTCTGTGCTTTGCCTTCCCTTACCCCTTCCTTCCCCTCAAAGGCTATAGAAAGTGCAAGCTTGGGTCCTCTCCAAACACAACCAATACATTCAAAAGTTAGAAACAATAATGTTACCTCTCCTTCGCCCATATGTCCTTGCTGCATGTCAAATGAGAAGAAAAAAAAAACAAAACAAAACAAAAAACAAACAAAACAAAACAAAACAAAAAAACAAAAAAACAACCTTTCAAACATTGTCAAAAGAATCAACTGAGATTTCATCTATCAGCTTTTGAAACAAAATTTGGCTATATTCTTCATGTCCTAGTTAATGTTTCCAAAACAAGGAACTGAATGGTGAGAAGTCAACTGAATGCATTTTTTAAAAGTTCTTCAAAGACATTGTAAATCTTTACTGAATCTTACTTGTTTTAAGGGAAACTTTTGGCTGTAGTTGTCACTCAAAGTCCAAACCATTATAAAACTGAAACAGCATGTAACAAGATTTAAACCAACTAGTATATTAATCATATTTTTTCAGATTTTCCTGTTCACTAGCAATTTAGTAGATATACTGGTATTTAATTCATGTCTTTTCACCACTACAGGATAAACAACATTTTTACAGTATTTCTCAGTTCATTCCTAATAAAAAAATCATAACAAATGAATATTTAGGCAATTTAAAGCTTCTTTTTAACCAACAATTTTTTTGTGACCCTAATCAAATCTTCTACCAAACCCAAATGCTGAAAAGTAAAAGGCTGGGCATTACATCACCAGGTAGGCTGTAGCCAAGGGGAAAGGAAAAGGGAATCATTGAATACCCAGGAAACAAGAGCACAAACCTTAAGTCAGGAAATTTTGGAGAAACAAACAAATTGGCACTTAAAGCCCTGACAGTCAAAGGCCTCAATTCTGTACAACAAACTTTTTGTAAATGACCTATGTTGCTAGCACTATGGATAACAGCACAAGGGCCTGTCCTCAAAGGACTGGCGACTTTATGTGTCACAGGCCACATAAGCCAACACAAGGATAATGTACCATGACTGCTGCTACACAGTTCTCCCCTCATCCCTGGTTTCTGTCCTAAGCTTTGGTTATCAGGTGTCCACCTCAGTCCAAAAATACTAAACAGGAAATTCCAGAAATAAACAACTCATAAGTTTTAAATTGCACCATCTGAGTACCATGATGAAATATGGAACCTTCCCATCCATCCCGCCTGGGATTTGAGAGAATTCAAGAGAATTCAGAGAATTCAAGCTGTTCATGCTACCTGCCTGTTTATCACTTTTGAGAAGTATTTTCAGAGACAGAGATCACATTCACAAAACATTTATTACGGTATATGTTATAGCAGCTCTGCTTTTATTATTGGTATTGCTAATCTCTTAACTATGCTCAATCTGTACATTAAATTTTATCATATATTTGTGTGTGTATATATACATATCTCTCAGTATGTATATTTATGTATTTAACCTTAGTATATGTAGGGTTCAGTACTATCCTTGGCTTCAGTCATCTACGGGGTCTTGGAACACAGTCCTTAGTTAACTCTCCTAGTTATATGGTAGGAGTGACAGGACAGAAGAGAAGCGACAAATCTGATTAGCTGGCATCTGAGATGGTCCTTCAGGGAAAATCAGAGGAATAGCACCTGAGGCCTGGCAGGGCCATAGGCGGGATGCTGTAAAGTTCAGGGAGAGTGAACCAGAACAGAAGCCTACGGCTTGGCTAGGGACAAGGTTTAACAGGACGGTGGGATAGGTTTTTGAGTTAGAAGGCATAGCACCTTTTAGAAGTCACATTACACAATGGCCAGGGTTTTCATTCTTCATCTTCTAAGTAAGTATAAGTTCTAAGTATGTATAACTTAGAAGCAACACAGGAGTTATTTTCCAAAATGAAATTACATCTCATATCAAAATACACTTCTACCATTACTAGATAAAACAGGATTTCACCAAAGTACCTGACTAAGCAGACTGAAACAAAATAAAGCCTTCCTTGAGGAAAACTTCATAGGTTTTAAGTTTAAGAGGAATAGGTATTTTCCAACTTACCAGACAGAAGTTGGAAAGACAAATAGTATCATAAACGCAGATGCCTGCTTAAGAGTCTCCATTTACACAACTGTTTTGAAGACAAGGGAACTTGGGAAAACAATGATTTGAAGATCTTGGTTGGTTCTGTCTATCTTAAAAAAGAAGATTCATGCTGCTTGGATTTCTGAGACAGAGATACTTGAAAAGAGTAGGATTTTAAAAGCTACAAAATTAACGTGAAAATGCTCATAGCTTCTATTTACTAATGTCATTTCAGGAACAGTTAAAAATAAAACATCTCAAAATCTTCAAATGTATACTTTCAAAATTTGATAATGTTATACAAAATTAAGCTGGTTAATATAGAGGAATTCATGGTTAGATTCTAAGACCAAATATCTGAAAACTATGCAGACACTCTCCTATATAACAGGAAAAATCAACTACAGGGGTACATCCTTGCAAACTACAAAAATTGCCCAGTCAAATAGATGGATGAATTAATAAAGCTGGGGGAGGGAATGACATTCTGGAACACACAAAATAAGAATGTGTAAATTTTTATTTCCAGTTATTATAATAGTTTATAAATTATTTTGACATACAATAAAGGAAAAGTAAATGAACCATAAATTCAGTGACTCTTCCATGAAGTGAACACATCTATGTACCCAGAACAGAATGCTAAATGGTGCCACTTTACTCCATGTATAAAAGATGTACTAAGTACCCCCTTCTCATTTATTTCAAATTATATTTGAAGCAAACTTTTTGGTGAAATACACTGAAACAGATTCCCATCACTTTCCTGAGAAAAATGTCAGGAAGATGTCTAAGCTCATGACCATAAAGTGTTGCTTGCTATCTGATGTTTTGCAAGCATCTGAGGAAGTAGCAAGGAACAAAATGGCTTTAATTATGTTCAAAGAAATCTGTTTTAGGAAAGTTCTAAACTTAGCTGAAATAAACTCTGCTCAGAATTTTCCTTTAACTATTTAAGAATAAACTATTTAAAGATTTGAAAAATACACATGTAAACACCACTGAATAAAAATCTCCCATTCCCCATCTGAGTTAAAATGAATGCTATACATATGTGTAGCTACCTTTGTTTTTATTACTTAGCTTTGATTTATAAAGTCCTCAATAATTTACATTCAGAATTAATAGGAGTCCAGATGTTAAAATGGGTTTTAAGCATTATGATGATAATTTTTTTAAATTTCCAGTTACATGTTATTAGATGTATTAGTAAATATTTTATTTCTATAATGTCTTTACAGGATGCTTATACATGTTTTTCTTCTTATTAGCCCTGTGTTCATCATGAAATTCCCCTTACTAAAATATTTCATTAATCTACAGTGCTTGATTTGCCAAGAAGGTACAGAAAGACCGTCCAGGACTTTTCCTTCTCCCTCCACATATATACATATTTCATTGTAAAAATAAAATATTATTTATCTCTTCAAAATTATCTTTTTCTCATTTGCTTTAACAATGGATAAGTGTCCATAATATGATACATTCATAAAGAGAAAGCATCTAGTATGCAACCATATTAAAATGTGGCACATGCTCATGGGCTGATGCGGAAGCTCTCTAAGATCTAGTTTGCATGCAGTGTCTAAGTGTGTATTATATGATCCTTGTGTAAACTTAAAAGTAAAAATATAGAGAGATATTAAAATATGTATTAGCCTTTTTTCCAAAACAACCACAAGATCCTGAAAAAGAGAAAAAATAGAATAGGAAAAGAAAGAAGGCCTTTGCTTCTTGTTCCATCTACTTCTGTACTACCTGAATTCATGACTACTGTGTATGTGGCATTGCTCTATTGGCTGATGGGCCATTTCTAGTTTTCTTCTTGGTAGTTAGTACCTGCATTAAAGACAAACAAATGTTACTAAAGAAACGCTCCCTTTCCTACATGACAGCCATAATTCTGGAAGGAAGAAGACTTAGGCCAGGAAAGATAAAATATTAGTAAGTTTCAGCAGGCAGTGCAGAACGGAGCCTCTTCAGGCTCCTGGTCTACCTCAGGCTTCCCACTGTTTCCCCTGTGGCTGCCCTCTTGCTGAGAAGGAAGCAGGCACTCTACTGGGGGAAAATAAAAAGGGTGGTGGCTCAGATGGAAAGAACTGACTTTTCTGCAGGAAAATGTGGGGGAACCGGACATGGTGAGGAGCTTCTGTAGTCCCAGCTACTCAGGACTGAAGTAGGAGAATCAATTGAACCCAGGAGTGAGCAACACAGAGAAAACTTGTCTCAAAAAAAAAAAAAAAAAAAAACCTGGGGAAAATTAGCCAAATCAGTAAATCTTAAAATTACAGGCTCAAACTAAAAGTTGCAAATCTGGGAACAAAAGATTAAAGACGGTGGAACCAGAAAGCTTGACCCCATCGCTGCAGGAGGCAGGAGGACGGCTCAAAAGGACACAAGGAGGCCAATAGTCATTCAAATTATCTTTTTAATCAACCTCAAATTTATCAGGCTCACTAATTTTTAATCCACATCTATGCTTACTAGTTACAATTCCCAATGTCAAGCTGACTTGAGCTTTTATTAGCTTGTAGGTACAACAACATTCAAAGAACATTCATAAGCTATGGTAAAGATATGCATTATTAATTTGTAAAGAGTTTCCCAAGAGGAGGGCAACTCTAGTTTCTGCATACCTCTAATTCTCAGTTTATTAGAAAGAAAAAGGAACAAATGAGAGACCAGGGGAAGATATCACATGCTTATGTGATGGACAGTCACATGCTTAGTAAGTAATCTCCCCCTTTCTCAAAAACAACTCAAATGTGTCATTCTTAGTTTAATCTTCAAGAGTTCCTCTGGGCTTTTCATTACTATTCTAACCCAACAACTGTAGAGGACATGAGTTTACAATGTTCCCACATCACCTTTTTCATGAAAGGATAGTTCACCAGGCCCCATATTCTAGCCCCCAGAACCATATCATACATTTCAGTGACTATCATCCACAGTGCTCCTGGGTAAATGATACCCTTCTTTTTAATAGATTTCTGCCCCCACCCCAAGCAGACATCTTCCCTCCTTCCATTCCAAACAACTATAGCTAAGGAGATGTTGTTCTATGCTAGCCTTTAAAAACTGTCTTACTAATCTCCTTCACTGGAACAAACAAATATTTAGTTGATGCTTCTAAATGAACAGACAGCCTTAGAAGAAAGGAATATACAGATAAATCTGTTAAAAACTAACATTTTCCTGTTGTTCTATAATTTTGGGGGGCCATACGTTCATTTTTAAAGAAGCTAATCCTAAGGGCTGAAGAAGTGAAACAGGAAATGGGAAAATAAGCATTTTAAAAAGAGAGCAATGCACAGCACTTTTATACAGAGGTGGTGGCAACTGCATAGTCTCCTTAAGTTAAAAAAAAAAAAAATTAATCTTTCACCTAACATCTACCGCAGAGCTTAGCCAAGCTGTGCCATGAGAAAATGGATATGCTCACTGCATTCCTATGACATAAAATGTACTGTCAAAGGCATCAGCTAATGGGCTGAATTCTGTCCCCCTACCCACTCACAAAATTCAAAGTTGAAGTCTAGCCTCCAGGGCCTCAGGATGTGACTGCACTTGGAGATAGGGTATTTAAGGGCTGAAGTTAAATGAGGTCATTGGGGTGGGCCCTAATCCAATATCACTGGGGTCCTTCTAAGAAGAGACGGACACAGACAAGCACATAGGGAAGAGCACGTGAACACACAACAGCCTAAAAGCCAGGGAGAGCTGTTCAGAAGATATCACCCTGAGAACACACCCAGCCTCCAGGATGAGGGAAATCTGTTGTCTAAGGCACACCACCTGCAATACTTGTTGTGGCAGCTCTAGCAAACTAAAACAGTATCCAAAAAGTGGACACAAAGTGAGTTTTTTAAAATACATTCTAAATCCAAGAATTTTCCCCCAAGATCCCCCGACCTCCCTGCAAAAAAAAAAAAACCTCTATAACTAATCTCACACAGCAACAAGTTGAATCATTTTCTGAAATGAACTCTGCAATATTCTTAGCAGAGTTTTTTTTTTAATCATTATTTGTTGAATTATATTGGCAATGACTCTTAAAAGTCATAAGTGACATATGAAGGTCACTGGGTAGCATGAAAGCTGATGAGGAGCAGGGCCAAATAATAATAAGTAATTTGATCCATGGATGAGTAAGCTCCTTTTATCTGTGTACAGGCAAATGTCAAGGTTATTCCAATATAAATTGCCAAAACTTGTGGAAGGCTCTTTTTTTTCCCTTTATTTATTTAGAACTTAAACCCCATTTCTTCCTCAAAAGCTTTGAGATTGCTTGAAAATTTCAAAACAAGTTGGATAATAAAATCATAGTGGAAATTCAAATGTTTGTGTTACAATGTTCACGTGAAAAAGAAGCTAACAGCAGCTCTAACTACTTTCATCCAAACCAAACAAGAAATGCCTCTAGGCTCAGAAACTTGGAAAGAGAGCTCTGAAAGTCACAGCTGAACAGTACAGAGGCCAGGCCACCACCTCTACAGGCCTCTTACAGCCCGAATAGACTGGCTACAGCAGACAAGGACAGACAGGTCCCTAGAGTTCCCTTCTATAACTGCAATTTGACACCATGTATTAAGCATTTATTTTCAGCTCTAATAAAAGGTTCCATGGCCATAAGATATGGAGGGACTGCACTGGGACGTCGAACCAAGTTTTAGGTCATCCATCTCAGTAGTAGACACAGAAAGCATGTTTAATAGTGGACAGTTTTTTACAAACTCCTCTAACCCATTGTTTTGTAATTTTTCCTTTTCTAAATCTTTAGCACTAAAATTTATAACCAAAAAAATCACTATAATTATTTTAGTTTGATTACTATGTGCCAGGTGTCATGTGAAATGATTTATATGCATTTATAATTGTCACCACAACCTCAGGAGGTGGCAGGTATCTAATTCTTGAGTTTGTTTTCATTAAGCACAATTCATGACATGAGATTTTTAATATAGCTACCCAAAACCTGAGATACAGCAAGAACAAAGCTAGTAAGAAATATACAGGAATGAAATGAAGTTACATTTATAGATGATTTCTATAAGTGATCTGCTCTAGAGGATGTTTTATGACTATGAGTAGGGAACAGACAATGCCCACATCTAAATGAAGGTGAATAAGGGCTGGTCTCAATGCGTCCTTCCCAGCCTAGATTCAATTTCATGATTTTTTTTTTTTTTTTACTGGGGACTGAAATCAGGGCATTAACCACTGAGCCACATCCCCAGCCCTATTTTGTATTTTATTTAGAGACAGGGTCTCACTGAGTTGCTTAGTGCCTCACCATTACTGAGGCTGGCTTTGAACTCTCTATTCTCCTGTCTCGGCCTCCTGAGCCACTGGGATTACAGGCATGCACCACCTCACCTGTCCAATTTCATGATTTTTAAGCAATATTCTGCTATAATCTGGACTTTTCTACTGTAGAGAAAATGGGTCTATTACTCAACACCAGCATCCAACCTACCTGGAAATGTTTTTCTTCCTTATAAATGAATACACTGGCATCTGATCCTAGCTGGTTGGTCACTAAAACCTAACACTTGATCACATCTGTTACAATCAAGGCCAGAGGCCAGGGCAAGACCTTGCACTGCTGCTCCTGGCTTGAGGAGCCAGGAAGGTTCCCCTTGTTGACATCTCTTTTGGTTCTTCTTTTATTTCATGTCTCTTGGTTTGAGTCGATGCTAACCTCAGCCAACACACCTTTATAATAACCAAAACTTCCATATAAGCAGCAGTAAAAACCAACCATTCTAGAGTTTATGAAGCAGTAAAATTTCAAAACATAAATGTTGGAGGGGTGGTTTCCTTTGCCAAATAAGGGTCATTAAAACTAACCTATTCATAAAGAAAGGCTATTAATGGAGAAAAAAGGAAAGGCAACTTCATAATCATAGAGGATTTTTTTAATTAAATGAATTTTGCTTTAAAGAAAAACCCACTAGAGAGTTCTTATCACCTCAACAAAGATGCAGCCTGAAGGCAACTGATCCAACTGAATAACCTCCTGAGGGGAATGGGACACAGAAGCTTTGATCCTGTTGCCTGAGAACACACAGCAGTAAGCCACATGGTGGGTCCCTGAACTTCCCAGAACCTGGACCTGAGCAGGAACTAGTTCCCAGGAAAAGCTAAACCTGCTTCAGGGCAGGTACATCCTCTTTATCCTGATGATACTGTCACCCCTGGGTTTGGATTTGGAACTACACACTTTTATGCTAGAATATTATACCATGGGATTATTATTATATATTACTATTATCTTTATTTATGCTGGAATCCTAAGGCATTGCTTTCTGTTGTAACTATTATTATGATGATATTATTTCTCGCACTATAGCATGAAGAGACCAAAGTCTGAGACCAAACTCTTATCAATCAAATCTCCTTCCAACATTTTCTGGCTCGACAAGCCTATAACCCACAGCACACAGACTTTACACACTAACCAAAAGGAGATGCACTCACAAAACTAATTTTCAATTCACCACATACCATAGACAAGGTTTTGTTGTTGCTGTTGTTGTTTTGATTTGTTTTGTTTTGTTTTCTGGTTGTTGATTGGGAAATAATGAGAACACAGCTATTTGGTCGAGAATATTTCTTGGAGACTGTAGGACTTAAATGAACTTTGGCCAAGGAGGAGAGATTATCAACACAGCAACAGTAAATGAGAAGAAAAGAAATCAGCAAGACCTGTTCATTCTACTCAGCTATTCTAAACACTAAAAACCAGACACTTTGCAATTCTTTAATTCTGTGAGGAGACGCCCTTCTCTGTAAAGCTCAACTTGCTTCTACACACGTACTCATTAGCACAGAAGTAAAATTTAGAACAGGTAATGAGAGAATCTACAGAAGGTACTGTAAAAGCCAACAAACTTCATTTTCCCTGATCTCCTTTGGCAGCAGTGAATGACCTTGTCTTTCCCAATGTCAAGCACTGTGGTCTCCGGCTGCCTCTATCTGGTTTTAGATCTCTGATTATCCTCTTTTTTCTGGCACAGTTTTCCATTGACACAGAAATGGCTTTTATGTTGACATTTCAAAGGTCACTCTTCAGAAGGTAATGTTCAATAAAGCTGGTCTTTATCTATCATGTGGGATTCTCACTTACTGTTAGCAATTTCAAGACAGGGAATCAGCATCCAAGTTTTCTTAAAAAAAAAAAAAAAAATCCTGCCCAATTTTGAGGGAAAAGAATTATTTTAAAATAGCTTATTAGTAGCAACTTTCAACTATCATTGCAGAACAATTAATGTCATTTTCTCTATTAATCAAAGTACAATTTCTCTATTAATTGTATTTTCTCCCCTAGTACTGACTTCTGCTTTGTGAACTTCACTGTGGTAAATCAATTATCACTTACCATTAATAAGCAGAGAGCTATCGGATCCTGGGTATGAATAGTTTAGACGACCTGAAGGTAAAAGAAGGCCGTTACTAAATTTATTTTTTTCATTGATGGTTTAAACTCATTCAATAACAGAGCTGAACTGATTGCTTTTAATAGGCAAAGTATTTAAAAATCTGTATTATAAGACCAAACTTTGTGGTGCTACAGAAAACAATGAATCAACATGTTCCCCAAAATTCAAAAAGAGAAAGTTTGGAGGAGACAAAATACAGTATCCCTCATGTTTAACAACTAAGTCATTCTAATTTCCAAATCCCCACCCAAAGTAATTTTCTTTATACCATTGTGTTCTAACTCCAACTTATAATAGCAATCTTCACATTTTTTCATTTGTGCATTTTTTTGTTACTTTTTACAAATATTTAATTAGCAATAATATTTTCCTATGTGGCCCATAACAAAAGTGCTAGCTGATGCCTGCATGTACAGACAAACTTAAATTCAGACTTTGGTCAATACATACTAAAGATTGTATAATGACACTTACACATGGTAGGAAATAATGAAAGTCCCTAACATTATACCCAAGAATAGTAGGGTCTTACTAAATCCTGAGATTCCTCTGAAATTTTGAAGTAGTTCAAAAGTGTTTAACCTAAAATGATCACCCAAGATGCCCCTCCTTAATGAATTTATAGACATACTAAAAATGTTGGATAAGCTGTCTTCAAAAATCATAGCCATAATAATGGGGGAAAGGCAATGGATCTTTTCTACCCTGAAGGAATGACATTTCTGTTTTGGAAGAGCTTTTACATGTAAGTTGAAGAACCTAGACCACAGCTTCTCAAGAGTGCATACTACGTACACTAGAAGATATAAAATAAAATCACTATGGTATATTTTAAGTTTCCATAGCCCACATGCCCATCCACACCCATTTAGAAGAAGGGTGATGAGCCTTCAGCAAGACTTGCTAAGCTAAGAAATGGACAGAAAACCTTGGTGGGTCACTCTCTGCCATGGTCCAGCACTCTATGAATCAGGAATAGTGTGCAAATTTAAAATTGACTCAGAACTACCAACACTCCTTTAGAAAACAGCACTCTGAACTCTGACCTCTCAGAACTGTGACTCTCAAGACTCTGAAAAGTGGATAAAGAGGTTGTCCCAAGCCCTGAGACTGGAGTGAGACTTTTCCTAGCTTGCTGAATACTCAGGACCCGAGCAGGTGTGCAGCCACATAATAACAGCTTTTCTGAAAGGAACTTTAGACCTTCCCTGTTTTAGAATCCCGTGTCTCTGAAACGATCTCCACGATAATGAACTCCTGCCATGAGAAGAGAAAACTGCTCTTTACGGCCAGCAGCTTTAATCAATCCAAACCCAAAGCCTGGAGTCTATCATGAAAAATCAGAACTCAGTTTAAACCAAATAAAATGGCATTCTAAAGTTAAATTGTTCCACTTAAAATTTCAGCTTATTCCTATTTGGGGAGTGACAGCAGGTATGGAGATAAGAGCAAAGAAGGTAAAAATTAATTTCTACATTTCAATTTGTTTCTACAAACTGGCTTCATTCATTAATGGTAACGTACAGTCAAGTATCCAAATCTAGTAAACTCTTACAACCGTTTTAACTAGCCTGGATCTTGTTACTTGTCATAAATATATATTTTTTAAAATATATACTTCAGATGCTAAGCACAGGAACATGACTTGAACTGTAAAAAACTTCAGGGGGCGAAGCCCAGTTTCTGAATCACCTAACTCCAAGTAGCAGCCAACCTGCTGGGATGGAATGCATGTATGACCAGGGTAGATGTAGAATACTCCAGTAAACACACTAACAAGGAGCTATCACATACCACCTTCGTGTGTTATAAAACATGCTTAAAAGATGATTTACTCAATATAGAAATAAAAATATTTAATGATATTAATTGAAATTGAGGATTAATATAATCCTTAGATTATTATTCTAAGGAGATGTTCTAACTTTTTTAATGCTTTCAGTACAATTGAAGTCATGGCTGTTCTATATGAACCAAATGTCTCTTATTTGATACTAAAGAAGGAGAAAAACAATAACAATGAGAATGCAAAAGACAAATTACCAAACTGGCTGGCCCAGTTGAACCAATGAAGTTCTACCTCTTCAGAAACTCATCTTTTGGGGTATCTTTTACATAGAAGATGCCCTTAACTCAGTAGAGAGTTTGCCTCACTGCACAGTTCCTGAAGAAACAGACCCTCACTCCAAGGATAGGTGACCTTGGACACCTTTTCTGCTCTTAGCCTTTCTGAATATAGTAATTCTACCCACCTAGACACACACACACAAAAAAAAAAAAAAAAAAAAAAAATCACTGACAGAACTCAGCTGAACTCAGAAAAAGATACTTGTTTTTGATTTTTTTGACCTGATCCTGTAATATGATTCTTGTCAGGCTAGATTCAGTTTTGGTCTCCAAGCAGCAAGTACACTTAAACAACCAGTTATTCTTTCTACTTCGATTTTAAGATTCAAGCAGTGACATTGTAAGGGTAAAAGAAATTGAAGTTAAAGTGTAAAAGTTAAAGGGTAAAAGACCGGGTGTTGTAAAGTTTCTAAGCTGCAAGGTCTGAGTTAAAATGTAAAGGATTAGGTATTGTTAGGTTCCTATGCTACCTGCAAAACCTGAAATTTCTGTAGCTATTAAGACAATGCTTGGAACTGCCCAGTAAATATTTCCCGACTATTTGGTTGTTTAATAAAGGCTCTGTGTGGTCGCACTTAGGCATTGCAGGGCCTGGACCAATCAGTTTAAATGTAACCCCCTCCTTAGGAATGACCTATCACTCCAGCCTGACCTGTTCCCGCCAATGAATGAACTAATCATGTTTAGGAGTTGTTGTTCAATTTTCCCGCGCCTCATGATGATTTGTTCTGATGTATACAAAGCCCTCCACCCTCCCCAAAAAGTGTACTTAAGCAGTGCTCAGCCCCTGCTCAGGGCTCTGGGCTGCTTTCCCTTCTTGAGTGGGCACGGAGCCCCAGCATGCTGGTTCAATAAATCCCCTTCTGCCAATTGCATGAGTGGTCACTTGGTGGTCTCTTTCTCCGACGTTTCGCGGGACCCTTACAACATTTAGAAGATTTTCTAGGGAACTTTCACAATGCTTCCCCAACCTGTCTGCCCTACTCTTCTGTAAATTCTTTCCACAACTAAACTATCCAGAGTCACTCACAGTTAAGAATAGAGCTCCTCCCGTCCCTCCTGGGAGTCCCCAAGGCGTCCTTGGTGAGTGCCCCAGGGAATCCTCGCACAGCCTGTTTCACTTCCGCTCTAATATCCGCCCTCCCGGTGCCATCGCACTGACAGCACCCAGGGCTCCACATACCACCTTCCCACCAAGGGGTGGCTCTGGTTGAGGCATATTTCTTTTAGTCCATCTATCTAAAGACCTGATTTTTTTAGAGTAGTTTTAGATTCACAGCAGAACTACGAGGAAGGTACACAGATTTCCTACACCCGCTGCCTCCCGCGTGCAGAGCCTCCCAATGATAGACATCGCACACCAGAGTGGCACATTGTCACACCATGAACCTCCACTTGGCTATCCCGGAGGTCACAGTTGACTCAAGGTCCATCTTGGCACTGTGCAGTCCGCAGGTCTGATTGCCGTACAGTGCCACGTGTCCAGCATCCGTCACCCCAAGGAGCAGCTTCACCTAGAAGTTCTCAGGACGCCAGCCACCTAATCTTTCTTCCCTAGATCTTTTGGCTGGATCCAGTTTTGACCTTTCCAGAATGTCACGGAGTTGAAATCACAGAATAAAAGTCTTTCACTGAGTAGCAAGCATTTAAATTTCCTCTCTGTCTTTTGGGGGCTTGATAACTCATTTCTTTTTAGCACTGAGTAACAAGTGTTCGGTTGTCTGTATGGACCACAGTTTATTTATCCATTCACCTACTGAAGGATTCTCAGTTGCTTCCAAGTTTTAGCAATTATGAATAAGCTGCCATAAACATCCAGGTGCGGGTTCTGAGATAGTTTTCTGAAGAGTTTTTTCGATTTTTGCTTCAGATTTACCTTCTTTAGAAAACCCTTCCCAAAAGGAAGCCTCTTTTTAAATTAACTTGCCAAATTGTAGGCAATCATTTCAGCATCTGGCTGCCTCTCATCTCTTTTACATAATCACCATCCCTCCCCCAGCCCTTAGGAACTAGAGCTCTTCAAATTCAGCAACTTGAGCCTTCTGCACAAGCCCCAGGCTAGCTCATTCCACTGAACCCGACGCACAAGGAAAACAAAAATAACTGAGATACCTGAATGTGAACAGAACCTAGTGCCTGTGGTTTCATTTGGTTGGTTTGTGATAACTCAACTATCTACAAACAGAACCCAGGTTTGAGTACATTTGTAATTTAATTTTGAAGGGAGAAAGAAGGCACTAGGATTTGCAAGTGACTCTTAACTCTATTTGATGAGTAAAACTCAACCTTCAAAGGCTCTTGGTATTGATAGTGTTATAAATATAAAAAAACACTGCCTGATCAGCACTACTTCTCTTAAGGGCTATTATGACAAGAAAAGTAGTAGTCTCTGGAGGCCAGCTGTGGCATTTGGAGCCAGATGCCTTGCATACATCATGCAGAAGGCGTAGGCTATATTTGGTGACATGACTCAACCCAGCCCAATACAGGCAACTGATCGTGTGACTCTGAGGAACCACACCACCAAATTCTACAGTATTCTACAGTAAAGACCCATACACCAACTAGACAATTCTACAGTAGGTGTCCATGAGCGTCTGTGAGTTGGAAAGAACCAATATTTACCAAACAGACTGACAGAGAACAGGTGGGGTGAGGAGTGCTCACAAGAACAGTATGTACTATCATATTCTTTTAAGACTCCCAACAACCTCATCAAAGAGATGAAAGAAGGACAGACTGGAAGCAATTACTTGATTATGTGAGCAATGTATGTATGCATTACTTTCTAATTAGGTAAAACCTATTTCCTAAAGAGGAACACATATTATTGCTAGTAAGGATTCATGAGGGAAAGACAAAA